CCCCGCCGCCCCCAGCTCCAGCAAACCCTGCTCGCTTGGGTGCAGCCCCCAGCCAAGACCCAGGCAACGCAGGGGTGATGCAGGTGCCCTGCAGGGGAGCGGTCTCCGTGGCCCTGGCCATTAGCGGCCCCCGCTCTCCGGATCACCATGGCTGTGCTGCTGCAGCCGGGGGGACGGCGGGGGCATGGGGCACAGCCTCTGCTCGGGGCACAGCATTGCCCCGGCCCAGCCCTGCCAGGCCCCAGCCCCCCTGGCAGGCACTGGCCAAGAGGACGCGGAGCCCCCGGGCGCAAGGTGACCCCGCTCCCTGTCTGCTTGGCAGCTCGGCTTGGCGGGCGGCCAGGCCTGTGGCACCGCAGCGCCCGGGCGGGCGGGAGCAGCATTCCAAGGAGAGCGGGAGCGGGAGACGCAGCCCGACTGCGCAGGCACTGCCAGCCCCTGCCTGGCCCAGCCCGGCCCAGGAGCCGCCCCAGCATGGCGCCGAGCCCCAGGCCTGCCAGGAATGAGCACGAGGCCCTGGCCAGGCTGCAGCCCCTGGCGCATGGGGAGGCTGCCATGGGGGGAGCTGGGCAGGCACTTTGCTTTCAAGCCCTAGTCCTAGCCCCAGCCCACCTGGGGCACCACGACCCGGGCCGGGCAAGCCAAGGCCAGGTGGTGAGAGCCACCCGCGTCCTCCCTCCAGGCCCTGCCCAGCCACGGCTGTGGGTAGCACGCTAGGGATCCTGTGGCTGGGCCTGGGGGTGGCCCCGCACCACGACCACACCAGGGCCTCGGGCCTTTCCCACTGGTGCTGCAACCCACAATGCCCGCACCCGTGGGGATTGGGAGCCATTGATCGCTCAGGCCATAGCTTCCCACCTTGGTGAGCAGCCGTCATGGACCACACGGCTGTGAGCCCAAAGCAACCCTCATCCTGGGCAAGGCTGGGCCCTGAGGGCCGGGACAGGCACCCACTGATGCCTGCCCTGACCTGGCCATGGCCACAACCCTGGGGAAGAGGCCAGTGGACCACCCGTTGCAGCTGGGCAGCATGGCAGGCACAGCGCGGGTGGGGGTCAGCATGGAGGGGCACCAGCCTGGCGGGGGCTGCACAGCAGGAGCAAGGGGCTGGGGAGCAGACGTATGACACCGGGCCCGTGAGCTGCCGGACCCTGGCATTGCCCTGTGGCTGAGCAATGCACAATTGAGGGACGTGGCCAGAGCCCAGGGGGACGGCGGCACCAGCTGGGGTGGGGTGAGACAGCTCCCAGGCCCTGCCCCATTGAGCACGCAGCGCCAGGCAGGGGGAACCCAGGCACCTGCGCCAAGGTCATGGAGGGCCCTGGAGCTCCTGCCCACCCTGGGGCCCAGCAGCCTGGGAGACAGCAGTGGCCTGGCCCTACTCCCACACCCGCACCCCCCTGTGGCCCCCGCGCAGCTCAGAACTGGGGCCAGGCCTAGGGTGTCCCACATTTATTGCCAGATGTTGGATGGGTCCGTACAGAGCGACACCGAGGGCAAAGCCAGGGGCGGTGCGGCGCACACACACACGGCACGGCACGACACGGGGCAGCTCGGCCGGGACTGGGGCGAGGGCACGGGGGCCGAGGCGGGACTGGATGCCAGGGGCTGGTGCAAGGGGGGCAGGACGCAGCCCCTGCCCAGGCGATGCAAGGGCCGGGGTAGCACGAGGGCAGCGAGTCACCGCCGGGGCCAGAGCAGGGGCCATGGGGCAGCCGGGGCCTGGAAGAGCAGAGGGGCCGAGTATGGGCCCTATCTCCCCCACCCTGCAGCCAGACGGAAGGAAGCCCTGCCTGTGCGGGGACCGGGGAACCCCCGTGCCCCCTCTGGGCTGTGTCTGCCCCAGCTGCAGGTGCCCTGCTGCCCCCAGGCAGGCCAGGCCAGAGGGGTCACGTGGGCTGACTGCGCACCCTGAGGCAGCCTCAGGTCTGGAAGGGCCCCAGTGCCCAGCCAGGCCTCGGGCAAGTGCAGAGCAGGTGCCGGGGAGGTGCCGGCGGCGTGTGGCGTTATTGCTATGAGTAGGGCGGCAGGACCGCCCCGGCGGGCGCTCAGATCACAGTCTCAAAGAGCGTTGCCTTCTCCTTGGGGGCTTCGGGTGCCAGCAGCTTGGCCTCGGCCTCAGGCGTCAAGTACTCGAGGTGGTGGTGCCCCCAGATCGGCGTCGTCAGGAGCTGCCAGCGCTGCGAGCGAAGCCGCCGGTCACCAGCCTGGTCTTGGGGGGCCCAACCCCTCCCGCCCCCCCCCCCGTCAGGCTGCACCATGCAGCCCGTGCCAGCGCCCCGGGCGCTCACCTCTCGCAGGGAGCCCTTGCAGCGCAGCAGTTTGTAGAGAACGGTGCATGGGATGCAGAGCATGGAAGAGAGGGCCATGGCCCAGCCGATGGCGTCACCCCACCAGGGGTACACATAGGTCTGGTTGTACGTCAGCTGCTGGTAGTTCACCACATGGAAGAGGAAGATGCCCTGGGGTGCAGGAGACAGCCATGAGACCCAGGGAAGTCTCTTCCTCCCCAGGGCCTGGGCAGCCCAAGGACCGTGGCAGGGTGGGCGCAAGGGCCGGGACTCCTGCCCGCGCCACGAGGTGGGTGCAGGACAGAGCTGCCTCCCTGCAGCCACGGGCCAGACGGGCGCATGTGCCCCCGCGGGGGTGCACTCACCACGCAGACCAGGGGAGTGATGACGGCCCAGCACCACTTCATGAAGGGCAGGGGCCGGTAGCCGATCATGCGGGCCACGTCATCCATGAAGCGGTCGGCTCCTGCGGGACGAGCACAGCGGGTTTGCTGGGGACCTGGTGCCATGCCCCGGGCACTCTGTCCCACCCCTGGCACTCGGTCCCCCGGCCCTCACCATAGACCCAGGCGATGACGACACACTCCCAGAAGGCCTGCCACAGCAGCGTGATGCCGCTGGCCGAGTAGTAGTCGAAGAGCTGAAAGACGTACATGCCGCCCTGGGGCAGCACAGCCATCACCGCCAGCCCCACCCGGCCCTGCACGGCACCCACCCCTGTGCCCAGCCCGCGCCCCTACCTCGGTCACCATGGAGAGGTCGATGAGGCAGCAGAGCAGGCAGCACAGCGCGGCCGTGAACTCCCGGCGCAGTGAGCCAGCGCCCGGCTGCGGGAACAGGTCCAGGATGCCCGTGATGAAGCCCTCGACGCCCACGAACTGCACAGGGAAGAAGGGTCAGCATGGCACCGAGCCCCCACGTTCCCCCCCACTCCTGCTCACCCTGGCCCACAGCCCCTCTTTCCCGGCCGCACCTGGCTGTCGAGTCCCAGCACAAGCAGCATGAAGAAGAAGAGGGTGGCCCAGAGCGGCGACAGGGGCATCAGGGTCACAGCCTTGGGGTAGGCAATGAAGGCCAGTCCGGGGCCTGCGGGAAACGGCTGGGTCAGGGGGTGGCAGGGGCAGGCCTGGCATAGCCTCCAGTCCTGGGAGCTGCCCCAGCACCAGGCCGGAGTCAGCACTCACCCGACTCGGCCACTTTGGAGATGTCGACGCCCTGCTCGGACGCCATGAAGCCCAGCACTGAGAAGACCACGAAGCCGGCAAAGAAGCTGGTGGAGCTGTTGATCACGGCCAGGACGTAGGCGTCCCTGCAGGAGGCAGGGGGAAGGTCAGTGCCATGTGGGGAACGCGCCGCGTGTGGCCCGGCCCCCCCAGTGCCGGACCTCACCGGTAGCAGTTGTTGTGGAACCGGTTGTAGCTGCCCAGTGCGGTCAGGGCGCCCAGCCCGATGGCGTAGGAGAAGAAGATCTGCGTGCCCGCGTCGATCCACACCTGGGCGCACAGGAGGGTCACAGCCCAGGGGTGCCCCCAGCTCTGCCCCGCCCCACCCCGCGCCAGCCCTGCCAGCCCCCCCTCACCTGGGCTTCAGCCAGCTTGGACCAGTCGGGCTTCAGGTAGTAGACGATGCCCCCCAGCGCCCCAGGCAGTGTGACACCGTGCACCAGCAGCAGAATCAGGACCACGTAGGGGAACAGCGCTGTGAAGTACACGACCTGCCGGAGCAGGCGCGGGTCAGGCCGGCTGCACTCGGCGCTGGGCGGGGGCCCTTCCCAGGGCAGGCTGCAGCTGTCTGGCCTGGGGGCGCAACAGCCCCAGCCACATCCCCAGGGCTCAGCCCACGCTGCTGTCTTCACTCGGGGAGTCCGTGCCTCAGCCTTGTGGGGCTGCTGGGTCCCTTGGGCAGCAGAGCGGGGGCCAGGACAAGCGGGCACTGGCAAGGTGCTGGGAGCTCTGCAGTGCCAGCCAGCGAGTGTCCCAGGGTTACCTCCAAGCCAGGCGCAATGCTGACCCAGGAGCTAGGACTCTGGTCCCCACCAGTGGCTCCTCCCTGCCATCTGCCCGCGTCGGGGTGCGGGAGACCGAGGGGCACGGCAGCGCTCGGGAGCAGAGCCAAGCCCTGCAGAGCCCACTTCCAGCAGGAGCCCAGGGGATGCTGCAGCTCAACTGGCTGGCACCCGGCACTGACAGCCCCTTGGGGCGGGGTGTGCGCAGCACGGACCTCATGCCGGATCTCGTGGCCGCGTCCCTGCCGCCTGCCCGGGCGGCCGTTACCTTCCCGGTGGACTTGACGCCCTTCCAGATGCAGAAGTAGACGATGAGCCACGTGGCCAGCAGGCACAGCACCATCTGCCAGTGCAGCTCCCCTGGCTCGCCCAGGCCCCCTGAGAGCCGCAGCACCTTGTTCCTGCAGCGGGCACAGCGCGGCACGGCCAGCTCAGCAGGCGGCTCCCACCCGAGCTCCCTGGCCCCCGCCCACCCCCGGCCTGGGCACTCACTCCCAGAACTCGATGACGGGCGAGCGCTTGCCGGCCAGCTCGGCGCAGCTGAAGTTGCCGGGGCCGGCGCTGCTGTTGGTGCCGTTGGGGCACAGGCCCAGGGCGAAGAGCTCGGTGCAGCGCTCCGTGTTCCAGGCGTGGCCGCAGGTGGCCCAGGGCAGCGTGTCCGTGAGCGAGTGGGCCAGGTAGAAGAGCCCCCAGACCAGGATCATGATGTAGTAGGAGTTGCAGAAGAACACGATGACCATGGAGGCCAGGCCCAGACCTGGAGGTGCGGGGGGCACATCAGAGCCGGCAGGGCTCAGCGCCGGAGCCAGAGCTGGCTCTGACGGGCTGGGCTGGGCTGGGCGCGTGGCCCCCGCACGCACCTTTGAAGAGGGGGGCGATGTTCCAGGCGGCGATCCCGCCCTGCTTCATGAACTGGCCCAGCGCCACCTCCAGGAAGAAGACGGGGATGCCCCCCACGAAGACGATCAGGAGGTAGGGGATCAGAAAGACGCCTGTGGGGACACCCGCGCCGTTGGGACAGGCAGGGGGCTGGGGCTGGGGCTGGGGCCGGGGCCGACCCGGC